AGATTGATGTATATATATCGAAAATGTCTTATAACATTTTCTTATAATTATATTCATTGTTCCCGCATATAGATGTTGCAATAGACAATAATCTTTGGTAAAAATATTTTGTTTCTAAAGCTGGATTAGATAAAAGAAATGTTACTCATGCTGTTTAGACTGATCTCTCCTATGTATGTGTCTATATATCTACATTAATTATAAGAGTGAATTACCGGAACTTGATGTCCAATAATAGAAGATGTACGTAGAATAGTAAACCGGTACAAGAATAAGAAAATAAGCCAATTTGTCATCGCCAAGAGATAAAGAAGGCACTGCATTGACATGCGTACATATGTTGTGGTCAATCGAACATTACTTCATTAATGATTAACGTTGAACAAACATAACACTGTTGGATATTTATCACCTATGAACTCTTTTTGAATCAACGATCAATGTTCTTGTACGAAAGGTATAGCTTGGTAGATTATAGTGCTAGCCTGAGTGTTTACTTTTTTTCTTGCGTCGTACTAATTACAGACTAAAGTGAATAATTTGATAGTAGAAGCCAATTGAAATAAAAAGACTTGAAAAAAGCAAAGATGGAAGAGGGGTCCATTTCTGCCACCGTCCTCTCGTCTTCAAGGTCTGCGAACAAAGTATATGCCTTAGCCCTACACCTTTTTTTTGTGCATATAATTTACATTAAACCATATTTTTTTAATCTCTGGAACTTGCAAACTTCACGATATATTTCTTCTGTACCCTAAAGCTTTTATCAAAAAGAAACAAATTCACATTGATTGCTATCTCTCTGTCCTGATACTGACATATTAACTCTCTGGCTAAAGAACAAATGTTGTTTGCAGAGGTATCCATTTAAAATAGAGAGTAAATTCATATCTATAACTGGAAAAGGTTAATTTTTTTACTATGTATGGTTAATTGGTTCAAATTGCTACAAGTAACTAAGTTATACTTGTTGCATAGTAAACCTTTGATATTAAATTCTTTTTTTGCCAAGGTACCTTGTTTTTTATCTACATCTGCTACCTTGTTTTTTACATTTCTTTTTTTTGCCAAGGTACCATGTATAAGGGCTTTGCTGTTGTAATACCCAACTTTCATGTTATATGATATTTACAAGTTAGCAAAAAATAAATTCTAAGGAGTATACTTTTTGTTCAATATTGTGATGTAACTAAAACAAAATAGAAAAACAAAAAGAGAAAACTAAATTTCAATAACATATCTTTTGCAAAATATATGGCGAAAAAATCTTCAACGTTGGGGAAATTTAGGTCGTCTGCCGCCACAGCCGCCTTTAGCTTTTCACACACCGAACATGGCATTTTGTTCCCTTATGGACCTGAAATTCTAACATTATCGAAATATTGGCTGCAAATTCTGATCTAGTTAATATTTACATTACGTTTGTTGCACGCATATAGGTTTGACATACACGTTAAGGAAAACATGATCTTACAAAACTACGAACATGTAACATATTGATCTAAGTTAGAAAGGTTGATATGTATAGAAAAAAAATTAAGATCGATTTCTTCTAGATGTAACATTTGATTCATTATGCAACTTATTACTCAATTATTTTTATTAAATAAATATGATATAGTGAAATATTAAATAATAATAATGGTAAGTCTACGATAAAAGGTTAATATGATAAATGAGAAGCTACGTATCAATTATTCAATTAGGTTCCCTGATGGCCAACACTTTTAACTGTTATACATTTGCATTCCATTATTCTTGACGCTTCATAGTTCTTCCTATATAGCCTACTTTCCATTTGGGAAAAGGACTCAAATTATAAATTTATATGTAAGACCCAGTTGTTAACATGACTCTGAACTCTTTGAGCAAATGAAAAACTATAGATAAACGATTCACGATAACATATCGCTTCTCTCTTTATGACCAAATTGTTTTTACCGTAGTACTTTGTAGGTTTAACGATACAAATGGTTATATTGTAATTAGTAAACAGTGCATCATGTTACCTTGAACTGTGTAAGGCTCTAAGCCACCAGTGCATCATGTTACAATGATGCCAATGAGCTTTACGAGACCAAGTGAGAGCCACGGTCTCTCTCTCTCTCTCGCTCACGATCTAGAGCTCGGTGGCGAATTAACCTGGAAGGTTCTTCTCACTTTGATATAAGAGTGTCATTTACATTATAGTGTCATTTACAATTCGCCAAAACGTATTCAAAGACAATGATCAATAGTCAACCATAGAAGTATTTTAATAAAAACAAATTAATTTGGATATAATTATTTTTAGAAAAGTGGATACAATGGATAAGATATAGAGGGTGTAGGGTTAACTTAAGTTCCACGACTTGGAGGAAGTACAATGTGGAATCTTTTGGGATGAAGCAGATTGCATGCGCGTATGCTTTTTCTAAAGGCATACGTTCTTCATTTTTTATTTCTTTAACTTTTGGGAGTCTTCAAGTTGACGACATTTCCCACATTTTTTGTTTTTGTTTTCCTTTTGTTATATCTATAACTATTATTGTGGTCTATGGTAAACACAAACAAAGACACCCAAATCTAGATCAACTGAAATATTTGTATGATTAATTCCATACGCACGAGTTTGGATGTAAAACTTCTAAACAATAAAACTCATATGTATTTTTAAACTGAATGTTTGATTTTTCTTTTTCAAGAACATGTATTCAGTATTCTATTAAATTTAAATTTGATAATGTTACAACGACAACAGTAATATAAAACACTAGGTTAGATACTTTAGGTTCTGAGTTCTGACAAGAAAAAATATTAACTAAATTGAAGTTATTGAACAGGTAAAATTGTGCCATAAAACGTTGGCATATACGACTTTATTTTGAGCTGAAAATACGTAATAGCATTAATTATGCAAATAGGGAATTCATTTCTCCCTTTGGAACAAAAAATATAATTATATATTTTTATATAATCAAAACCAACGAATATGTACAAAAATATCTAGACATAATTCCACAACTCCAAACTAATACTCAATTGTATAACGTATGGTTATGGTAAGAAGAAAAAAGAGTCTCAAACGCAAGTCTATTTCATTTTCATTGCCCTCTCTTTTTAGTGGAACGAGAAAAAGCTGTTGTGTATCACTATCAACGCCTTGAATAATAAGAAAAAGATGTTACAAGAAAACAATCATAAAACGAAAACAGTTTTTCTTTTTTTCTTTTTTTGTTTTCCTTCATAAATGGTGGAGTTTAGTTTAAAGAAAAGGAGATTTCTTAGACGATGACCTTAATCATAAGTTCCTAACACCTTTATACTCCTCGAAATTAGAATCTCATAAAACATTTTGGCCTTAATCATAGTTATCCACATGAAACACATCGTCTCTCTCAATACATAAAAATAAACGTGACCTTAAGAAAATAAATAAAAAACAGCAAATATTAACGGGACTCAACATCAGTAATACTACTGCCAAATTATTCCATTGCCCACTCTGACTAACATGTAATTTTCTACCGACCAACATATATGTGTGTGTGTTTATATTTTTCACATTTTTATATATTATGTTCGAAGAATTTGATATATATATGGCACGCATGATTGAAGAATAATGATTGATGAGTTTTTCTGAAACAAATAAAATTGAAAGTTTATATATAAAAAAAAAAAATTGAAAGTATATATATGTGGCTAAGAACTTAAGAAGGGACACATGTTGATATATGAAATAGGAATCTTAAAATAAATAAGGAACAAAAGGTTGAAAGCAAAAGGGTATTTATTTAGTTTACTTTCCTATTATGAACCCTTAACTTCTGCCATCCTTTCCACCAACAATACTCTCTCTCTCTCTCTTGCCCTTTGATTTTAGACCAGCTAAACATATCATCAAAGTCTTTCTCTTTTTGTATTCTTTTTCACCAATTCTGTTGTCCAAATTTCATTTCTTTGCAAGAACTCTTGACTAGAGAATCCAATTCTTTAGTTCTTCATTTTAACCTTATTTTTTCCTTTTATTTGGGTATATATCTTACTTGGGTCATTGAATTTGGCGACTGCTATGGCAGATCTTTTGGGGATCTGCATAGAGGAGCTGCTTCTTGTATCAGCTTTCAGGTAGCTGTCTCCACCCTGCATTCAGATGTTATTAACTCACTACACACCAAACACAGCTACAACAAAAAGAACGGCAAACACTTTGAGGAGCCAAACAAAAAACGGCACACATCTTTCCTTCCCAAGCTGATAAAAAAAAAAAAAGAGAAATGTCATTTTGAGAGGTCAAGAAACAAGAAAAATGGGACTTAAAGGTTATAGCGTCGGAGGAGATGTTGGAGGAGAGATAGTTGAGGTTCAAGGCGGTCACATAATCCGAGCCACGGGAAGAAAAGACCGTCACAGCAAAGTCTTTACATCAAAGGGTCCACGTGACCGGCGCGTGAGACTCTCAGCTCACACGGCGATTCAGTTCTACGACGTGCAAGACCGGTTAGGGTACGACCGGCCAAGCAAAGCAGTTGATTGGCTCATCAAGAAAGCTAAATCCGCAATCGATAAGCTCGAAAGCAGTCAAGACGCACCGGAGAATAATAATACTAAACCGGGATCTTCTTCTTCCGAGCCGAATTTGGTTACTAACCAAACGCAGTTCGTGGCGGCGAATCTTGATCCTGAAGACGCAATGAAAACGTTCTTCCCGGCGACGACGACAACAACAAGCGGCGGCGGTGGTGGTGGTACAAACATGGATTTCCAGAACTACCCTCATCACGGTGACGACAGCATAGTTTCAAGAACAGCAACAAGACCGAACCTTAGCCAAGATCTTGGACTTTCTCTTCACCCATTTCAAGGAAACAACAACAACACAGTAGTCCCGGAGACGAACAATTTCACGACGGCTCATTTCGATACATTCGGGAGAATCTCTGGATGGAATCATCATCACGACTTGACGATGACGCCATCAGCATCACCATCAGAACAAGAACAGCAAGAACAAGAAAGGAGTAATGGTGGTTACATGGTGAATCATCATCAACAACCATCGATGATGACATTGCTTAACAGTCAGCAACAACAAGTGTTTCTTGGTGGCCAACAACAACAACAAAGGGGTACCCTTCAGTCCAGTTTATTTCCTCATTCGTTTCGTTCTTGGGATCACCATCAAACGACGCCGGATCATCATCACCACAATCAAGCTTCTTCTTCTGTGATGTTTGCTTCTCCATCACAGTTTGGTTCTCATGGGATGATGATGATACAAGCTGGCCTTAGCTTCCCTCTCCATGGGGAAGAAGCTACTCAACCAGACTCTTCTTCTTCTCCTCCAAACTCACACCTCTAAACACAGGTATACTATTTTTCTTTTAATGTATATAATGCATTTTAGATTAGCAAGGTTGATTAATCGCTTATTAAATCTTTCTTAATTAATCCGCAAGTATCTCTTTGATCTTCATTGTAGAAGAAAAAGTGTTACAACAATGGAGGTTCTAATTTCTTATGACAATGAACCAAAAGGAGGAATTAATGAGATGGAAGGAGTGCAAGCGATATACAAATTATTATACCATCTATTCATATATCTATAGATATGTGGCTTAAGTTATTTATGTTTTCTCATTAGTCTTCTTCTTTTTTTTTTCTTTTTTAAATTTCAATTTTGCTTTCTTTGTTTTTGGATCTCTGCACTGATCATCAAGCGTGTGTTTTGGCTTTAATATGGACTTAGTCTGGGATATTGTAATCTCATTTTTTGTTCTACGACTGAGTTTTAATTTTCCTGTGTTTAGGTTACTGTTTTTATGTCTTCGGTTAAGTAATAATGCTAAAGCTTGGGTCGTATAAATGAGTAACGGAAGAAGAGAGGTGCTCATTATCATCTGTGCAGATACCAAATTTTCCTTTTTAACATAGCTTCTGGGGTCTAATGAGTAAATGATCTTTAGCTTAGCTGCTTAAAGTTGGGACAATTTAATAGAAAAGTCAACATTATTACAAATTTAGGATTTGTATGCAAAAGTTGCTACTGACTATTCAATGCTTTGTGACAGATACACCAAAGTGTCTCGATATTTTAGTCTGCGGTTGCGTAGTTATCTTGGTTTGGACTTTTGAAGAAGATATTTCTTCTTTAACATCGTCGAAATAGTTATACTGGTTAACTCTTAACATTTATTACTGTTCTACCATTGGTATGTAATGGGTAAAGAGGTTTGGTATTGCGACAATTTGATGGAAAATCAATAAATTTAGTAGAAAATTTAAATATACACCATCTTTTTCATAACTCGATTGCTTAACTCTTCACATAAGTCGACTGTTTTAACTTTTGAAATAAGCCGCCCAAAAAACTAAAGGTAAATCGATTGACATGATATATAATCAACAGTTCAAACAAGCCAAGTAGCCAACTATAAAAAAAAAATGATGCAAGTTTAGCAAGAATATACAATTCGATGAAAATGAAATAATATGTAACTCCAAGTCTCCAACCTTTTGTATTACTTATATGATGAAATGTTCTAATCTTTTGGATGTACGAATATGATGAAAATATCGAATATGTTTTGTCCATCTCTCCAAAAATATTTACATTGTGGGATTGGAGTACTAGAGCCTCATAAAAACATGGGAGATAATTACAGAATATTGTAAGAGTGAGTGTCTTACTTTGTAATAACGATAAAATAAAATCCAAAACAGAGAGAGTTTAGGCAAAAACCCTTTGCCATCTTCAACAGAGAGATTTTAGATCTCGTAAAACCCTATCACACACACATTTCCGGTCAAAGAGATGGCGGGGCCTCTGCTTCGATCTCTCTGGTCAACCACCACTCGAAGCTCCCTCTCAACTTCCAAATCTTCCTATCTCAGATTCGGCCACTCGCTTTCCTCCTTGCGCGCCTTCTCTGCTGCCACCGCTTCCACGGCTTCCGCCGGAGCTCCCAACAGCTCGCTAGATCCTAATCGGCTCCGGAACGTCGCCGTAATTGCCCATGTCGATCACGGGAAGACCACTCTCATGGACCGGCTTCTCCGTCAGTGTGGTGCCGATATCCCACACGAGCGTGCTATGGATTCAATCAACCTCGAGCGTGAGCGAGGGATCACTATTTCTTCAAAGGTATCGCATTTCGTCAATTATTAGTCTTTCTTGATTGAGATTAGAGCTAAAAATTGTTACTTCACAGTTTGAAAATGGTTCTGTATATAGTGATTATTTGAATTATAACGAAATTTCATTTCTTAGATATATATTCACCTCAGACCAATTAGAAGCTTTGTTTTTTTGTTCTTAGATAATTTCATTTCTGGAATTTTGAATTTGAATCATCAGTGAGACTCTTACAAAGTAAAAGACTTTATTTTTTTTGTATTTCCAATTTGGTTGCTTACTTGCTCTTTATTCCTTGTTTATTATGTACCGCGTAGCATAACATTTGAAGTTTATGTGGAATTTTCCGACAGGTGACATCCATATTCTGGAAGGACAACGAACTTAACATGGTGGACACACCTGGTCACGCAGATTTTGGTGGTGAAGTATGTGTCTGATCCCTTTCAAACGGTTACTTTTTAGCGTAGTATTAATTACCATGCTCAGTTTCAGAAGAGTTGAATATCAAATCTGTGCTTAGTGGACCTTAGATAAACGAAATTAGAATTTTTCAGTACTTACTCATGTTAAGTTTGGATTAAGTTGTTTTTCCCGGCATTTGTGCATTCTCTTTACTGTTGATCATAGGCGAAGTCTTGGTTGATTATGTTGCATTTGAATTTAGGTTGAACGTGTTGTTGGCATGGTTGAAGGAGCTATATTAGTTGTAGATGCTGGAGAAGGTCCTCTTGCACAGACAAAATTCGTTCTTGCCAAGGCCTTGAAGTATGGAATACGCCCTCTTCTTTTGTTGAACAAGGTAGATCGACCTTCAGGTGCGAATTGCATTTAGTCCTTTTGTTAGTATCTCCCTTATTCTGTAAAGTTTTTTCTTATTGTTCTTATTTTTCTTTTAATTCGGAATGCTTCCTTTGTCACTGCCAGTTACGGAAGAGAGGTGTGATGAAGTGGAGAGTTTGGTGTTTGATCTTTTTGCAAATCTTGGTGCTACAGGTAATTGGTTTTGAAAAACTGTGACTTGTAATGTACTCTAGTTAGTTTAAAAAGTGTGATATGTATAACATTGATGATGTCTAAAAAAACATGTATTTACAAACATTTATGACTAAATCATATTTCTGCCTTCTCCATTACTTAGAGGATCAGCTAGATTTTCCGGTGCTTTATGCCTCCGCAAAGGAAGGGTGGGCATCTTCTACCTTCACCAAAGAACCTCCTGCAGATGGGAAGAATATGTCACAGTTGCTTGATGCCATAATAAGACATGTTCCTCCACCAAAAGCTGACCTTGATGAGCCATTTCTAATGCTGGTAATTTTTCAAACTAAGGCTAATGAAATTCTGGACTTGGGTGGCCAGTAATGTATATATGCAACTTCTTTCACTTTTCTGAGTCCTATATCAAGTAGCTGACCCTTGAATTGTGTTTCCTAACTTTGGCAAGATAGGCAAACACAGTTTACATGATTTCTGTTAAGCGTTCCAAAGTATACCAGATAAATACCTGTTTAAGTTCTTGATAAGTAGACTTCTTGTGCGAGTTTAGAAGCATCTTATGTAGCTATCTCTCAATAAATCTCAAGAATGCTAGATGGGATTTTGTTAAACTAATTCCCTTGGCTGGATATTTAGTGAGATGATTTTCAGAGTTTTGTAACCTTCAGCTTTTCCATTTTGAATGTATTACTGCTGTGTAGATGATGTGCTCAGATTAGAAGAGGTCATATGTTCATTTATTTTGAGGGGAATAATGTCTGAACTGCTTCAGCCCTTAGCAATGAAACTTTACCAGCATTTTCACTTCTGACCTCCAGGTTTCAATGATGGAGAAAGACTTCTATCTCGGACGAATATTAACTGGAAGAGTATCCTCTGGAGTCGTCCGTGTTGGCGACAAAGTCAATGGACTTCGCAAAACCGATTCCAGCACTGAGAAAATAGAAGAAGCAAAGGTTTGTCTGCATATCGCTTTATACTTGGTCAGTCATGTTTGTAAGGAGGGATCTCTCATCTAAGCAGATTCAAACATCTTTCTCATAGGTTGTGAAGCTAATGAAAAAGAAAGGCACAACCATAGTTTCAATTGATGCCGCAGGAGCAGGCGATATTATCTGTATGGCTGGTTTGACAGCTCCATCAATAGGTAACACGGTGGCTAGTACAGAGGTAATACCCGAATGGACTACTGCCTATTGACCTATTTAATACTTAGAAACTATATGTGTATTCTGCGTTTAACATAACTTCACAAAGTCCGTTGATCCTTATTTGATATTTTAAGCAGCTAATGTCATTTGCTTTGTCTGACAGGTCACAACTGCGCTCCCTACTGTTGAGCTGGACCCACCAACAATTTCTATGACGTTTGGTGTCAATGACTCTCCTCTGGCTGGTCGGGATGGTACTCACGTATGTTTAAATCTTAGTAACAAAACACAGCTTTTGTCATTGTACTCTGCTTTAAACTTGAAGCAACCTCGGATAAAAGTTTGGGTTGCTACATTTTTTCTTCTGTATTCACCTATATGTTGCTAGCATTCTGAGTTGACTTGTCCTACCTAAGCAATATATGAAGAAATGTCATGTGTTCATTTGTAGACCACTCAGTCTGCCACATGTTGATATGCTATTTGCTAAAATATGAATGCAGTTAACTGGAGGGAAAATTGGGGATCGGTTATTAGCAGAAGCTGAAACAAATCTTGCCATAAACGTTATTCCAGGAATGTCAGAGTCATTTGAAGTCCAAGGGAGAGGAGAACTTCAACTTGGTTTGTGTTTTTCCAATTTTTGTTCAATTTTTCTTCACCTGGATAGATGGATATATAATATGAAACACGTCAGAAAACGTGCAACTGTATCTATATTCTTTGTGCCAGGTGAATTAATCTCTGTCCTGTCTAACAGGTATCTTGATTGAGAATATGAGACGGGAAGGTTTTGAGCTCTCGGTCTCACCACCTAAAGTCATGTGAGTTTCATATATAATTAGCTGTATAGTCAGAGTTGGATACAGTATTGAGTTCATTATATGTTTGTAGTGCGGGTGGGTGGACTTGTTGCTGTATGTTTCTTCTGTGGGTTTTTGTTAAGAGAATTCTTTGCCTATTGGTTTCATAAGCAGTAGAAGCGTTGTCTTCTTTTTGACCAAGTTATCTGATACTACTACACTAATACTTTTGCTGGTTTATGTTTCATCTACTAGGGGTTACCTTTTGGCCTAGAAAAGCACATTCTTAATATGTTGTTTTGAAATAATTTTGTCGGATATCTTCTGCTGACTACTGAGCCTTTCTACTATTTGATTCAGGTATAAAACTGAAAATAAACAAAAGCTTGAACCAATTGAAGAGGTGACTATTGAGATTAATGACGAGCATGTAGGATTAGTGATGGAAGCCCTCTCCCATAGGCGGGCGGAAGTTATTGACATGGGTCCTGTCCCTGGAAATGAGGGTAGGACGAGACTGTCATTAACTTGTCCTTCAAGGTTAGTTTAACAACTAAAGTTACTTTGATTCCCTTATATAATATCTATACGCATTCAGTCACACCCCTTGAAGAAATCTAACCAGAGGATACTTGCGTCGTACAGAGGTTTGGTTGGGTACAGATGTGTATTTAGCAGCGACACCCGTGGAACTGGATTCATGCATCGTGCTTTCCTAAGTATGCAGCTTCTCTACTTGCTAACTGTTGTGGTTGGTTACTTTCTTCTCCAATTGATAACTGTTTTGTATTTCGTTCTTGCAGCTTATGAAAAGTATCGAGGTCCACTTGGCAATGTTAGGAAAGGAGTATTGGTACGTTTATGGGCCATACTCTTTCTCTATCTCAACACCTATTTTGTAATGCACTGCTGTGAGGCTTGTAGTCTTATGGCTGATTTTTGAATAGGAGAGATCCCTTTTCGGTTGATGAAACAGGTTTCTATGGGATTTGGCACTATTACAGCTCATTCACTGATGGGTCTGGAACCTCGTGGAATTCTCTTTGTGTCTCCGGGGCTGGATGTGAGAACCTTATACATATGTTTTGTTTCTTTATTGGTTTTGGTATTCTTAAATATGTGGTCCTCGTGCGTTTTAATCCTTGCTAATGCTGCATCTTCCGCTGCTTCTGTCTTTTAACAGTCATACGATGGCATGATTATAGGTGAGCACTCACGAGATACCGATCTTGATGTAAGTTTGCTCGACTCACTCCTCCTCTCCATACTCAAAATAACCACAGATTAACTTAAATCTTATGAGCTTACTTGCTTGACACTACAGGTTAACCCGGTTAGGGCCAAAGAGCTTAACAACATTCGTGCTGCCGGCAAAGATGAAAATGTGAAGCTATCTCCACCTCGCCTTGTATGCTACCCCTTTTCTCTAACCTGAGTTTTGTTGACAACATCTAAAGGAGACACGAAAAACCGATTTACTTGTATTGATATGTTTTTGAAATCCTTTCTTATTCAGATGACACTTGAGGAAGCTATAGGATACGTTGCCTCAGATGAACTTATTGAGGTACAATATATTCATTCCCAATCCTAACTCTGGAACATTTTGTTTCTGAGTTTCTGGCTTTTTCTTACGCATTTGTTGAATGTGTTTAGGTTACTCCAAAAACGATTCGGTTGAGGAAAAGATGTTTAGACGTTACCAAGCGTAAATCCCAGAGCAAAAGAGCCAAAGATTAACCTTTTCCACACTTTATTTTTCCGGTTCAATTTTTGGTAAAGCTGGTTTGGTTCTGGCTCTCTTTCTGCTCACAATCTTTTAAAAAGAGTAAAAATTATTGAATCATCATATTCAGATTATATAGATTCGTAACTTATATTATACGCAAGAAGATACAGTCTTTGTATTGATAAACAATAAGAAGATAAAGATCAATCTCGATATTGTATCGTCATTGTCACGACCCACAGGTGTTGAAGTTATATTTGTGATTTATTCGTTCCAGTTTTTTCTCAGCAAGTATTATATCAAATCTTAACACGCAGTTGTTGAAATCTTGTATTGAACGATCATGTCTTGTAAATAGTCAACGCCCGTTGAGAAAACAGATTGTCATTAATCATGTACCAAATCAGAAACATAATGAAGATGAAACAAATCATATAACACCATAACACCATTAAAGATTATAGAGAGACTACTATAACACCATTAGGTAAAAGGCAATTAAAAAAAAAGAATTAAACGTATAAATCTTAAAGTAAACCTAAATAATAAACAATAAGAAAAAAAAACTAAAGTAAAACTAGGGTTTGTAAAAGAATGAAGGAAAGCATGCTTAAGCCGCTCCACACGCAAGGGCTTGAGGCTGCATTGTAAGGAAGTGCTGCAATCGTTGCAGCATCTACTGGAAGAACCACTAGAGGATCCTCTAAAGGCGGGTGAGGAGAAGGATTAGGTTTAGGGTTAGAAGATGGAGAAGGATTCGGTAGAGGAGAAGGATTAGGGTTAGGGTTAGAAGATGGAGAAGGATTAGGGTTAGGGTTAGAAGATGGAGAAGAGTTGTTTGGTTGAACAGTTGGAGTATTCTGTAGAGAGGCAGGCATGACTAGGACGTCGAGCTTTTGACCAGATTCGCAGTGACCAGGCAGACCGCATATGAAGTAATAGTGGCCGGTTCGGTTAAGGATAACGAGTTCATACTGGGATTCGTATGTGGCCAGAGCGGAGTTAGGGTTGCACGACTCGTAATCTTTGGAGCTCACTTCCAACACATTGTGGAGACCCTTGTCATATTGAAAGATGAGAGAATCTCCAACGTAGAAAGTCTTTGAAGAAGACCATGTCTTGTAATAGTCAACGCCCATCGCTGTCGTCCATCCGTTGGTGTCTCCAACCTCGTAGAAAGATGCAGCTCGTGCTAATCCGATTAGTGACAATGCCACAATTAACAAACTCATGCCTGTGTTCTTCATGATTGTTGCTGATTCTTTCCTTTGCAGAAAGTAGAAAAACAATGAGAAGAGAGAGAACTATGTAGATTTTTGTTGTTGGTGAGTACATTGTTTAGAGTTGTTTGTGTATATATATATAGATAGAGAGGCTTCCGATAATTGTTTTCCTTCTAGGATTGTGATTTAAAATCATACTAGTAGAGTACCCGCACGTTTGTGCGGTGTGACGTTGTTGTTTTGTGTAGAAAATTTAAACCCTAAATCCGAACCCGACAAAAAACCCTAATCAAAAAATTTAAAAACCCAAACTTTTTTAATAGGTCTAAACATGAAAATCCGAAATCAAAAAAATCCCGAAAACCCTGACTGAACAAAAAAAATCTGGAAACTTTTTCACCCGGAACCCGACCCCAATACCTAATCAAAATTTTAAAATACTCAATTTTTTTAATATATCTAAACCCGAAAACCAGAAATCTAAAAAATCCGGAAAACCCTAAACTGAAAAAAAAAATTGAACCTAACCCGAACAGAAATTTTCAAAGAAACCCGAACAATTTCTATATCTCTATATATATCTCTATAAAATTATGTCTCAGATTTTCACCCAAACCCGAACTTGTCTATAAAAACCCGAAAATCCAAAAAGCATATTCTATTGATTTGGAATTATCGTTAGATTATGTTAAGTTTTTTTTTTGCAGATTTTTAAGAGATGGAAAACGGAAGTTTTCTAAACCATCGGTTTATTTTAAGTTATTATTCTTGTATCCAAACAATTTTTTCCATTTATTCTTCTATCCAAATAGATTTTTCTCTTATTCTTATATCCAAACAACTTTTGTTTCCATTTATTCTTCTATCCAAATAGATGTTTCTCTAATTCTTGTATCCAAACATTAGAATGTACTTCTCAATTAATAATATAAAGATAAACTTTTGACTGGTCCACGTTAGATATTCATTAGTAATTTTTTTTGTTCTTTCTCTTTCGTTAGAGATTTTCTTATAATTTGGTTTCCTACTCGATATATGATTTTCTTTATAAATATTTTTCCTGATTTTATACATGTCACATGTGAATGAATAAAGGGCATTACGTCTATCAATGGGCGTCGTCCAATAAATTATTTTAAACTAATAACTATAAATTAATTGCTCCAGTAAAATAAATTAATTAGCAGAACATTCTTTTTTTTTTTCTGGTATATCTAACACACACTAACATTATCAAATATTAGGTTTTGTTGTAACGAATTCTGTAAGCTAATGCGATACTTTTTTCATTATGGATATATTGTTTGACGTTTAACGAAGTTTCTATCTTTTTTTTATAAATTACTTTCTACTTTCTAACATGGTTTTGGTTAGTTTCTGTATTTGAAAAAAGCTCACTTATACTATTATTTGGGGAAATTGGAAAATGAGCAGACCCTAAACCTAGTCCTTAAAATTGATAGAAGTGCAGGAAGTACATACTGACTCCATTTATTATGTTAAAGTAAACAAAACCACTAAATTAAGGAAAAAAAATATGAGCATTTTACTTTCGGTTTTCTAATTACTAGCTCTGAATTACAAATAGATTAAATTTATCTGAACATAAGCAACATCATGGGACTAGAAATTTGTTTGCGTAAATACTTGCATGGTAACACAATGCACAATTGTTTATTGCTATTTGACTAAGAAATTAAATTCAAAGAAATGAAAACCCCAAATTAAAGGATGGGAAAAAACACAGATGAAAAACAATAAGAAGATACAAGCTAGGCAACATAAGATTCAAATCGAATTAGAGATCCAATTGCTAAATTACATTAGTCTTTTCTCTTCTCATAAACATTTCTTTTAATAGATCTAAACAAAAAGATTACATGCACGCAAAACCTAGTTAATTAGAGAAACGTATAATAAGTAAATATAAAAAAAACATCCTAATAGAAAGAAAGAAATCAGAATGCTAAGATCAAAGCCAATAAGCAGCTGAGGCCGATCCATGAAGCTGACTTCGAGGCACCGCTTTGAAGAGGTGATGGAGCCATCTGATGCTGAGACTGTGGAGCGTTAGCCGGAGAAGGAGACGAGGAGTATCTTGGTGATCGGACCGACCTAGGAACCGGAGCAGCGACAGGACCTAACGAGGCCGGTAAGACGAGGATGTCAAGCTTCTGTCCTACGTTGCAGTGACCAGGAACACCGCATATGAAGTGGTGGAATCCCGGTTTGGTTAGAGTGATTGTGTCAGAACCGGATTCGTATCTGGCTAGCGGTTTAGACGGATCGCATAGCTCGAAATCATGGGTAGTGACCTCAGTGACGTCGTGGTCCCCGTTGTTGTATTCAAAGACCAAAGAGTCTCCGACTTTAAAAGTTTTTGATGAAGCCCAGGCTTCGTAATCGACACCCATCATCGTCCATCCGTTCGAGTCGCCGACGTTGTGAACGGTTCCTCCGACGGAACGTCCAAAAAGAGCCAAAACAATCAGCAAGAAAGTGAGGAAGGATTTGCTCTTGATCAAAGCCATGATTCTTTCCTTTGTCAACAAATTCCTTCTTCTTCTTTTTGTTTCCTTTGATTTTTGTATAGTTTAATATGTTTAATTTTTCATTAAAAATTTGCTTTTCTAGTTTATCTGATTCGCCTCATGTATTTAGTTTGAGTAACGAAAAAGGTTGTTCAAAAGTTGATAGCCGATTGGTACGTATTGGGACAATTCTAGTTGTAAGTTTTTGCTACCGACTTTTGCTCTAGACTTTGTTGTAGAGATTTTGACAATTTGATGAAAGATAAAAACTACTACCTAATACGAAAATTACATTATGTTTTCTTACATATAGATATCATTTATGTTCACAAATTCAATTTCAGTCATATTTAGATTCTCAACTTCCAATAAAGATTTCTCACACAGCGATTTTCAGGGTTTCTGTTGGTACGTAACATGCAAAGACTGCCTCACACCGATCCAGCAACGACAAAAATCATAAAGTCAATAAGTCTCACGAATGCACAAATGTTTATTACTATAAGTCTCCAAACAAATGCCTCACAAATGTTTATTACTATAAGTCTCCAAACAAATCCACATCCTAATTCTTAACGATCCACATTTATACAAATAAAAAACAAATTCACGTACTAATTTCTATTCACGGATTTTCCTTCCCACGAAACATTCATTTTGCAACCTCTGAGTCTTCATATATATACTCTGTCTTGTAAGTTGTTTGTAGCAAAAATCTGAGTCGCTTTTGTATAAACATCGACCTATCCGGGAGAAGAATATTTCTGTTTGATTCCCCTTACATTTAATTTTCTAATGGTTAATTATGATAAGATGAACTAATATATATGATATACATCTTTATCAACAATAAATATATGTTAAAAACAAATTTCACGGCAAATACAAGTTAATGTATATAAGGAAATCAGTATATATATTTAAAAAATTAATTAATATTTTAAATTAGACAATCTAGAGATAAATTTTATTTTTCTTGTGTCTAATATTATGCTATATGAACTCCAATTTAAAAGACTAAGTTTTCGGCTGATAAAGTGCAAGAAGTACATAAGTAAGAAACAAAAAGAAGGAAATATTATATTATGTTGAAAGTTCAAAAAAAAAAAACCACTAATGAAAAGAAAAAAACAACAACTCAAATTCTCAAAAGGAAACAAAACGTGAGTGAGAATCTATCAAACTAAGATGAAAAGAGAAAGTAGATAAACTAGGAAGTAGGATCCAATCCAAACACTAGAGTTTGAAGCTGCGCTTTGTGGAGCTGGTGATGGTGATGGTTCCATCTTATACTGTGGACCATTGTTAACCGGTGCATTAGCCAAAGGAGACGGTGAAGGAGACGAGGACGAGCTTCTTGGTCGGACTGATCTAGGAACGGGAGCTGGTGATGGTGATGATGGTCCCATCTGATACTGTGGAGCTTTGTTAACTGGTGCATCAGCCAAAGGAGACGGTGAAGGAGACGAGGACGAGCTTCTTGATCGGACCGGTCCGGGAACGGGAGCTGCAACTGGACCCAACGAGGCTGGTAAAACGAGGATTTGAAGCTTTTGACCTACCTTGCAGTGTCCAGGAAATCCGCATATAAAGTAGCGGATTCCCGGTTTGGTTAGACTGACCGTGTCAGACCCGGTTTCGTATCTCGCTAGAGGGCTAGACGGTTCACAGAGCTCGAAATCATTAGGAGTGACTTCAGTGACGTCGTGGTACTCGTTGTCGTATTCGAAGACCAAAGAGTCTCCGACTTTAAACGTTCTTGACGAAGCCCAAGCCTCGTAATCCGCACCCATCATCGTCCATCCTTTTGAGTCGCCAACTTTGTGAACGGTTCCTCCAACGGCAGCTCCGATGAGTGCAACAAGAATCAGCAAGGACGTGAAGAAGGATTTACTCTTGATCAAAGCCATGATCGATGTTTTGGTTCTTCTTGTTTTGTTTGGAAACGAGAGTATATAACGCAGAGAAAAAGGAAAATAACTTTGATAGAGGTTGTGAAGTTTTGAGTTTGTTTGGTGAGAAGTTTGAGAGGGCACTAACATGTTTATATAGCGCCCGAGGTATCGTTTAAGCTAAATCCTTTTCCCTTTAGATATGTGAAGATTTTTATATTTCTTCAAACCAATAAAATATAGAAAATACGTAGTACCTGGATTTCAATTATTTCCTTTTAATTTTCCTTTGTATATTCAGTTTTCATCATGTAATTTTGTTTTTTTTTTTTCGTTTTTAACCTACTAAAATTGATGTACTTTAAAAGATTTTCAATCATATCTTTAGACATTCTTAATTAAAATTTAAAGTAGATATCTCCTGTTTGTATAATCAAATTTAAAATTGATATTGTTACGGTCCGAAGCAAAAACCATATGATAAGGTCAATCTGAAATCGAAACAAATTAAAAATATTATTATCAAATCCTTTCCTTTCCTAATTTCCCCAAACACGTATAAGCAAAGGTACGTATCACACGCGGAAGCTCGTATCAAATTAGGAAGAGTCAATACCATCAAGGGTATTTACGTCGTTTTGCGAGGCCGTTAGGAGAATCCCCAGAATTCGGAGGGGAGTGAAGAGAGAGAGACAGCTGAAAATGGAGGACGACGAAGCAGAAACTGGTAACGCGAGACGAATGAAAAAGCAAGTAGGAGAGAAGACGAAGAAGATGACAATCGAAGAATACTTTGATTTCTTCAAATCTCGCAATACACACTCCAAATCAATCACTTTCCTCAATCAGGTTCTCTCTCTCTCTCCCTCTCTTCTGCAAATCACTATTCTGCTTCTTCTTCCCCAGTCTAAAGCGCTTCTCCATCGAATTCGCGTTTTTCTGCAGATCATACACATGCACGGATTCCAAAATCTTCACAGAACGAAGACGGTAATCATCGATTACATTAAAATCGAGAAGGATCAGCTTCCCCTAATCTCTAACTTTCTTCATCCGTCGATTGAATTTCTTATAAACAGAAGAAAACGATAGCTGATGCCGTCAGCGGATTGGATCTAATAGACCTCTCTCGATCCACACTGAGACAGAGCAATGTGTCCTCAGTAGCAACCCTAACTCTCGAAGAAGTGATAGTCGACATCAATGCTCTTAAGTGGCGAGAGTGTTCTGTCACATCGCTCCAGACTCTCAATGCCGAGGAAAAGACTCAATCCATAGCCAAGCCAAAACGGAGAGAGACGACGAAGAAGAGGAAGAGAATATCGATGAAGACGCTGCTCAAATCGAGTAAAGGTAGTTTGTGATAATGGAGTAACGGTACTCCACTCCAAAGAATGAAGAATTTTAAAAGAATGCTAATTACAGAGAGTATTTTAGAGATTTGTGGATTATTAATGAGACTTTAATGTTTTTGAAAGATACAACACTAAGCCCAAACCAAAAAAGAAAAAATTGCGGTGAGCGTGGATCGAACACGCGACCTTCAGATCTTCAGTCTGACGCTCTCCCAACTGAGCTATCCCCGCTTTTTGATATTGTATCTAATTAAGTTTATATATTATTATATTTTGGTTATTTGGTTAAAACGCAAAACTTTGAAAACTCGTACAGTGACATTCTTCGTCATCGTCAATATTGGGTGAAGCGTCATAACCTCCACAGGAAACTCATCCATGGCGATCCTTAGCTATATCTCAGCGTCATCTGCTACGCCGCCGATTCCTCAGGACCAACAATTAACAAATCCTCGACTACCAACCAAAATCATTCTACCCAATAAGAAACCGGAGAAATGGTCCACCGGCGTTGCTCCCGGAGAGTACGGTGGTCCTCCGACTACAACGAAGCTCCGAAAGTACTGGGGAGGAGAAAAGGAAGATCCCATCACTTCCAAAGACTTAATCTGGAACAGAGATTTCATGGATCAAATGAAGAAATTGTTCGATTCCCCTGAAGATTCTTCTCTCGACCCATCTCCCACTAAGGTCACTTCTTCTCCATTTCCTCAGATTTTCTGCAAATTAGATCAAATTGGTGCCCAAAGTTATGATTTTTGTGCATAATTCTAGTGAACCATCTCAGAGACTAATCGTGTGTTTAACCGGTGATGAACAGGAAGAGTCATCTGGGTTTCTAAGCTTTAGCAGAGTTATGAGCCTTGACAGGTTTTTACTTCTTTCTTTCTTTCTACTTAAACTGAGAATTCTTGCATTTGATTAAATGGTTTCTTTGTTGTAACCAGTATGGATGTTGATTTAAGCAAAGAGCTTGCATCGTCTCCCAAACCCATCTTAAAAGCTTTTGACACCTCCAAATCCGAAGCCAGAAAGCAGATGGTAAGATCATCTTCATTTCCCAATGTATTATCACAAGCAAGATTGTTAGTTTTTATCTCTGAAATTATAATCTCTTTTTTCCACAGATAAAAGCTCCTAGATGGAAGCTGGCACCAACACGTCGTGAGCAAGATAAATGGGATAGAGCTACTAAGGCTGCTACTGGTGGCAGTGTAAGTTTATCTTGCAGATGATGATCTCTTGTTCATTGATTGGTTAGACTTCCACACCTTTTCTTGTTTCTTGATTTCTTTGTTTCGTTTGATAACTTGTGCTGCAGGAAGTGATGTTTAGGGAACTGAGGAAACCACGTGGTGACCCACAAGTACTAGCTGCTGAATCCAGAGAGCAATATTTTAAAGTACTTCCTTTTAGTCTTTACTCTCATGGGCTACGCAATGATACGTTTGGGGCATTCTGTTCCTACTCTTCTTGACTTTTGGATTGTTTTCTTGCAGCTGAAAAATAGGCTACAGCTTCTCACAGTTGGTATAGGTGGTGTTGGTTTAGTCTCAGCTTATATTTCATACACCCCAGAGATAACACTTAGGTTGGTTGTCTTTCTCCTGCAAACAAACATCCAAACCTCTCAAAGAATTGCATTTGTTTCATCTGTGCTGGAAATTCTGTCACAGCTTTGGTGCTGGCTTGATGGGTTCATTAGCATACATGAGAATGCTTGGTAACACTGTAGATGCCATGGCAGATGGAGCCAGGGGAGTTATGAAGTACGTTTTCATTCATATTCCTATCGGTTATCTTTTTCGAGACGACTCAATCACTCACTCACTCACTCATCTTGTTTGTTTCTTCGGTTTGGTTGAATTGATTTGACAGAGGTGCAGCTGGACAGCCACGGTTACTAGTCCCGGTTGTGTTGGTTATGATATTCAATAGATGGAACGGGTAAGCAACGTTTCTCTCTTTCTCTCTTTCTCTCTCTCTCTTGTGCATTATTATAGCTTTCATTTAACTTGTGACTTCATACATTGCAGAATACTTGTTCCGGAGTATGGATTCATGCATTTGGAGTTGATACCAATGTTGGTTGGGTTCTTTACTTACAAGATTGCTACATTCTTTCAAGCTATAGAAGAAGCCATCTCCATTACTACTCAAAAGACCGATGTCTAAAGGCACCAACTTCAACAAGCAGCAGCCAAAGAGCCAAAACTCAGTTTGTAGATTTGGTTCTTGTTCATCATCTCTAGGTCAAAGTCAGTGTTTGTAAGAAATGTATTTAATACACAAAGTGAGATATATAAATAATAACTCATTATAAATTCATTTATATAGCCATTGTTTTGCAGATTACCTAAGAGATAAACTAAGAACAGCAAAGAAGACAAATCCAGAAAAGAAAAATCATACTAAAAGTCAATAAGATTTCAGACTAAACCGGGTCCGGTGTTGGTTTGAGTGTATTCTTCGTCAAGTCTTCCTTCGTAAACGTAACCGAGCTTCTCACAACATTTTTTAATCTCTTCGACATCTTTGTTCGAGCAAGAATCATCGGAAACTACAATGGTCGTCTCGTTTTCTCCGGCTTTGTACTTGGCAATTGTTCGATGATCCGATACAGCAATCTTCACGACCTTGTCGTCTCCAAAAGTTGTGCAAGAAATCACTCTCGCTTCCATTTTCTTTGTGATTTTAACTCTGCTTTTGCATAGGAACAAGAAAGAGAATAAGAGTTGTGGAGGATTTATATATAAAGAACAATCATGTGAATGTTAATGGTGGAATCACGAAACATATGTGCATGTAAAAAGTAAAAACAGTAAGTGGACCAGCAGATTTCATTTTTGCATGAACAATAAAGTTGAATCACCAAGAGATTACTTCATTTTTGCATGACTCGTGTTTTCACTTATCTATCTAGAAAGCTAATACACCAACAAACTGACTTTATCTAGTCAAAGATTTCTTTAAACTAGAGATTTGCTTTTTAAAATTCACCAAGAAATCCGGATTTAAGAAAGAACGTATGCAAATAATGCCAAGATCAATTGTTATCGTTGTAGTCGCTCTATGTTTTACCTTAAGCCAGTAATAGAAGACTATTGTTAGAACTTTGTGGTAGAAGGCTAGAAGCAAGGAGAAGAGAATATATATAGAGAAATGTTACTTTTTTGTATTGTAATCATTTATTTGTTCTTATGGCATGTGTCTACATATTCATAGTTCACGCTCTAATTTATTTTTCTAAAAAAACTTCTTAAACTAAATATATTAATTATAAAATTACACTCGTTTAATATTGATATGAATTATGCATGAAATGTGAAAAATATATAACTCCATAGATCACGACATGCATTCATATTTAATTCCGGTTTGGCATGAGCTATGGATAAAACATATACACATAACATAATGGATTAGAGATAATGTAAAGAGATTTTATTTTTATATACATGTGTCTTTTGTCAATTACAATATTACATTGTGAGTTTCTTCAGGCACATAGAGTAAAATTTGACCATGTTTGTTATATCCATTATAATGATCTTATAATGTTTAGCTGAACATATAATGTTGATAATAAGCAAATTTTGATATTAGGTAAAATATTAAAACATTTATGAAAATATTTAAATTATGTATATAACATTGGTGATATATTGGCTATTAGATTAATCTAGTTGAAAATAAACTTAAAATGTAAATTTAAATATTTCCTAGTAACGAAAATAAGTCCATGATTAATTATTTCTATCTGTTTCTTATATGATTGACACGAAATAAATGAAGAATGAATGTGCCTTAAGACACAAGATGAGAATGGATGAAGAAAATTCAAATCAAAGAACTCTCTTATTCTTCTCAAATGAGACAAAGGTATATATTTGTTAACTTAAAATAGACACAAAAAATGCTCTTCAATAACCAACAAAAACATTGCCTGTAAAACCCGTAAATCACACCAGAGGCAGCCTAATAGACAGAGACATGTTTGTGTCTACATTTGGTGCCTCTGCCTGTTCCACATCTATCAAAACTGAACTATGAATTTCTCTCATTGGAGCCTTGAAGCTCTCAATTCATGATCTTAAATGTTATGCCACTCAGGTTAATTTAAGTGCAGAGATCTAAAGAAAACATCTTCGGCTCATAACGAAGTGGTGCTAACACAGTGTGTACTCACAATCGAGCAAGCCTCTAAGTATCTCTTCACAATTCGGGCGTTCTTGAGGCTCTGCCCAACAATCTGCAGAGAAATATGAGAGAATAAACGAAAAGATACACTAAATGTTCAAGAAACTAATGGTGTTTAACAAAACTGAACCTGCAATAAGTTTGCTGAGTGGACCATCAGGAATCTCAAGACGTGAACCTTCATGCGCAACAGCAAATATAACCTAAGAAGCAAAATTCATCAATCAATCATATTCACAGGAGATTATTTATGAACATCACTGGAGGAATCATGGCACAGCATATTGTACCTTCTCAGGTGGGACTCCTTCCCAAGGTTTACGTAAAGTAGAAAGCTCCCACATTATGACCCCAAGACTAAAGATATCACATTTCTCTGTAAAAGGTTCGTTGCGAATGAGTTCTGGAGCCATCCACTCTGGGGTACCAGCAGATGAAGTGTCCTTCATGTTATCATCAGTCATTATTCTCGAGAGCCCAAAATCACAGATCTTCACCGTCCAATGTTTGTCAACGAGACAGTTGGCACTTTTTAAGTCACGGTGAACTATCTTCATCCGGTGTATGCACATCAAACCCCTTGAGCACCCCATAAAACATACAAAAACAGCATGAGAAACGCATATGAAATAAATAATCTAGGGAAAGATGTAAGAAATGTCTAGAATAAATAACAAACTGTGTGACTTGATCCTAGTTTCTTATGTGGAAGAGTGTAACTGAGCCTATCTTTAGTTAATGGATGTCATATAAGTTTGCTCACTCAATAAGGAACTGATGAACTAATAAGCTACAAGTAGTCACAGATCTTGGTAACATTAGAATGTACCTGCAGATGTCTCTTAGCATCCTGAGCCTTCTGTGCCAGCTAAGTTTCTTCTTCTGACCACTCATGTGGATCAAATAATACAAAGATCCCAGCTCCATGTATTCCGTGATCATGGATAAGCGTGGAGGTTTTGTGCATGCACCCAGAAACAGTACAACTGCAAGAAAATAGATCGTGACTTGTCGGACAAAGGTAAATGAAGGAACTAATGTGAGACATGTCTCCTCACATTACTTGATAAACATGGCAAGAGAAAAAAACGAGAGTGCATGAGAAAAATATATTTACCATTAGGGTGGCGAACACGGCTGAAGAGAGAACCACAGATGCCCGAGCAAACATGAAAAAAACATTAGTAGATGTACACACGGATTGATCCAAGAATGAGAAAGACACTGGTAACAAGATACCTGAGGATTGATATCTCATTGCAGAAATCTTCCATGTTTTCGGCAGTAAGATCTTGCTCCAGAAATAGTTTGATTGCAACATCTGTCCCATTCCATACTCCACGAAACACTTCACCAAAAAAACCTAGACACATAGTATAAGGAAAAAAGATCTTTATATAAAAGTTTTGAGACTTAGTCAACATGGAAAAACAGGATACCAACATAACAGAGACTTAAATTCTTAATAAGCCTCGTAGCTCAGCGTCCATTTAGAGTTAGGTTTCAGAAACATCACGTGACCAAAACAAAAAGATGATTTGCACACAACAATCTTGAAAATGAAATCAAACTTGCATTGTCTAACTTTAAGGTAGTTAAGAATTTAAAAGCAGCTTACCGATCCCCACCCGAGTTCCAACAGTCAGCTCTGAGAAGTCAATGTCCCATTCTTGATAGGGTAATAAAGGCTGATTCTGCAATGTGGAAGACTCAACCACTTTATTCCATGTATCCTTCACGGCAAAGTCTGAAGGCCCTCTTCGTCCTCCAAACCCTTGAATCCTGTAACCATGAGGGGATGATGGCAATGACATTGTCTTCTTAGAGTTCAATTCATCATCAAGATGGAGACCAGACACCTGGGAAAGCCCAACCAAAAGCACAAGAAATTAGAGGTACGAGCTAACAGACACCACGTCTTAGTGCAGTGACCTTGTGGAGCAACTCAGAATTTTTAGACGTGTTAAGCAATGAGAAGAGAACTAATGCAACACAACAGCCACTCTTACTAATAGAGAGCTCCAACTTACATTGTTATCGATACCTGAGCTGTTTTCATCCTCTCGGCCATGCAAGAGACGGTGTTGCTTTGCTTTCTCATTTAATTCTCGTACAGCCCTTCAATAGTTCGTAACATCGGAGTAAATACACAAGCAAATCATTAAGTCGCAGAGAACTCTTCATGAAGTTAGGAGTGTCATTAAATGGCTTAAAAGAGTTTATGGCTATGAGTGAGCATATAGTTCCATGTTAATGAAAATACCAACCTTGCAATGTCATCCCCAATCTCTGGTGTGATCCTAAAACTTCGCCTTCTAGCTTTCCGAATGTCTGATGTGGATGAACTGTTTGAAAGCTAGACAACATTAAAAATTCTGACAAAGGATGCAAGATTAGTAACATATGATATCACTGCGTTGAAGTGAGATAACAAAGACTATAAGTGATCCTTGAGCTGCCGTCAATTTGATGTATAGGAGCAGAAACAAAATAAAATCCAGCAGAGATTGATACTTGAAATGCATTCATGTAGACTTGTATAGGCAACTAACTAATACTGGAAAGTTTCAGACAAACATGCTGCCTAAATGTAATCGGAAAGAAATGGCATACTGAAGATCTTGGCATGTATTAATACAGAAATGAGATACCTAGAAGGAGATGCGTCACCAGCGTAATCCCTACTCGAATTCCTGCCAGCACTCAACATCGATCGTCCACGTCGCATAGATGGGTGTTCTGGGCTGCGAAGGTAACACATTGGCTACTTGCGTCAGTTGAGTATAGATAAAACAAAGGAAATGAACCAGAGACATTTTTATCAAGAGAGTGAAATATAGAAGCAACAAAACATGAGAGAAACAGAAATTTTACATTTTCCAACTCATTACTATATCTTAGTGGCAAAAAGAAGTCGTATCAATGTAATAATCTGTTATTATAATTTTTATCAACAATAATCCAAGCCAGAAGGAGCAAGGAAAAACCTCGAGCTAGCAGTTCTCTGTTCAGCAATCACTTTTCTGCGGCTACGTCTCCAGAAAACAGTGGCAATATTTGGTTCACTATGCGAGGTGTTGCTGAAAGAAAAAAACACATCTCTGTCACACCCATTTGTACGGACTCCATGATACAACTTGTCAAAATATATGTGTAACAGTTACCTCAGTTTCCTTTCAAGAGCTGTGGCAGGTCTGAGCATCAAATTACGCAATGAAGGACCGGATGCGTTTGGATATCCTTCTAACTTACGATAAAATTGAAGATTTTCATCTTTCTCTGTACTGTAACATAGATAACAATTCATTACTCCAGGGCATACATATCACAAGAGATGTTCGAGAATGGTACTGTTATATGCTTTAGAAAGAGAATCAGACAACGGATGCCAACCTCTCAGAATCTAATCTCTCATATAAAGGACTATTTGGCTCCAAAGGTGAGTCACAAGAGTCGTTTTCTGCAGAATCACTTTCTCCAG